CCCGCAACTTTTGAATAGTAGTGTAATTATTTTACTTAAAAAACACTTTTTTATATTGTGTATATCTCATTTTCATATTTTTGCCCTGCTCTTATAGCAACACGAAACAGACTACTTTGACAGTAGAAAAATTACTTGCCAATCAGGCCATGATTAAATGCATTTTTACTTTATTCTTTTTCAACTAATTGCACTAAATCAACAGCCTGAATTAAGCCCATCACAATGTTCACTCTCATTATCTTTGAGCCGTTTGTTAGTAGGCATTTACGCTTCATCAAAAGCCATTCATTTTAAGCCACACTGTAAAAAAATGACTGTGAATTGAACGGTAAAAGACTGTAAAAATGCTACAGTAAAAACCTGTTAAATGCTTAACGGTAAGTTTCCCTTCTATATAAGGTGAAAAACTGTATTGGACATTACATGTAATTTTACGGTAGTATAACGTTTTTGGAAGTGAAAAAAGAATGTAGGCTATAATATACAGTAAATAACCGTAAATTGACATTCGCAGAATTCCCTGCGTTACATTTCAAATTTGATGTTTTTTTGTTGTTGAAATAACAGTTTCTTCTTTCTATGTTTCAAAGTTTTTTTTTCTTTCAGTTTTGTATATTAGGGTTGTATCTTACACCTAATGTTGTTCAATTAAAGTTTATTACATTATTTCAGTTTCATGTGTGTTACCATGATGGTGTTTAGTGTTTGTGTGAATGACACTGTGTACCTTCTAAATATGTTAATATTTAAAAACTGCTGCTTGTGATAGGCTTTGGTTCATCATGTGACTTTCTCATCACCACCTGCTTTTGGTGGTTATCAGTGTATTACAAAGGTACAAAACAGATTTCAGTACTTCAATAAGTTGGTATATTAACATTATATCAGTTATTGAAATTACGGTATTTAACTGTAAATTTAAGTTAAAACAGTAAAACCTAAAACGTTGCTACCATATTTTTTATGGTAAAATTCTAGCAACCACAGCTGCTGTTTTTTTACCGTAAATTGTATGGAATTTTTTTACAGTGCAGTCCTCCTGGAACAATCAAAGGGTTAACAGGCTTGTCGAAGAACATAATGGCTATAGATCACAGCTGTGATCTCAGAAAAACTCCCATTCCCATGTTGTGTTTCTTTCTGTGCAGTTCACAGGAAAAGAAAAAAGCAGGTCATTTTTTCCATTTTACTCATGAGTCAAAGCATCTGTCACACATCAAAGCTAAAGCAGCATTCCACGACTTTTCTATTGATAGACAGCTAGAGAAAGAGATTTCTTGTTGGAAGGGTGAGACTGACTGAAATTCCTTCCCGAGCTCTCGCTTCTAAATACTCAGTAATTGCGCATGGATTACCCTGAAAGTATCGAATTTCACTTTCCCATATAGCTGTGCGCACCATAAATGCTTGACCCTGCGCTGCAAGCTTCAACTGAAATAATCTTATCAAACTCAATCTAGATTTCTACATTCTGACCCCACTTTGCTTTTAATGGTGCTTCATGTCGAGATTTGTGTGGCTAGCCAAAGTTTCCACATCACGAAGTCATGAAGGAGTCTCAGAGTGTTACATAATATGCCAGAGACGGAAGACGTCCAGCTACTGTGCTCCAGCTGAAATTTGGAAGCTTGACTTCCACGTCAGAGCTGCCTTAAAATCGCATTACTGTACTTGTGCAGTGCATGAATTCAATTTCTTTTCATCTGAGTTGTGCAACCTTAAGTCAAATTTGTGCTTTTGATGTATTGTGCACCGAGGGGAACTGCATACTAGATCTGAGGCCATGAGTATGGAAGAAAGCCTTCATGGTTTGCGGTTTACGCATTCAAACAGTGCTCATTTGAATCGTGTTCCTAAGCAAAGCCATACTTTATAGACGCGCTAATTTCACACGGTCACTGTATAAAGCCCAAAGAAAATTAAATCATGCATCAGTAAGTACTTTCAATTACCTAATAGTTATATAGATCAAGTATGAAAAATATAAACGATACACCAGCTTTTTTAGCCAGTGAGTCTCTCTTTACTAAAACTTGTGATTTAGAATGAAACATTATAGGGAAAGGTGAGAAAAAGAGTAAAAACATTCTTAGAGATCTTTATACATCTACAAAACCTTTCTTTCATGTGCACTTGAAGATGATCTGATAGTGTTCTTCATGGTTGACTAATTTGGCATTTCCTTTTTACTGGTGTCCATGCCTTTCTGAATTAAAGGGTGCTACACTATTCAACATCAGCCTAAATGCTTCTTAAATTACCCAGCATTTCTCCCTGGAGCTAGAGTGAAGCCGCCAGTGTTTGAGTCCAAGCTCACCCGACATGTCAGAGGGTAATTAATTTAATCCTCAAGCTGCTTGTGAGCTACAAAACAGATGGCCCAATGTCAACTGCCTGTTGATGTGATCAGCTGAACAGACTACATAAAGTGTCATATTTTTAACAGTTTAAACCATTTAAGCAGTTGGAAATAATATTCTCATAGATTTTTTTATCATTATTATTCGTTGTACACGATTCCTAATTTGTTTTGTTTATTTTTCAGGTTCAAAGAAATAATGAGAAGAAAAAAAAATATATATATATATATATTAAATATGATTTTGAAAATGTAAAACAATAAAAACAAATGATACTGTGTTAAAATAAATAAGGGGAGAAATTCTGAAACCATATTCAGTATAGAATTATATATACAGTTATATGATTTAAATATAATATAAAATAATACAACACAATATTTAGGGCGATCAAAAGATTCAGTATACAATTATATGATTGAATTATAATATAAAATAATACAACACACTATTTAGAGTGATCAAAAGTCGAAGCATATATTGTAATTATTACTATTATTATTATTTTTTAATATTATATGATACTTTACTGAAAAAGTTCCACTTTTTCGTTGATTTTCTTTGATGTTATCCATCCAAACCTAATGTGCTGACTTCGACTGCAGTCTTGGGCATCATATATATGTGCATGCAGCATTTTTGAGCTCATTTGAGTTCATCTGACTCTGAACGCGTAATGTATATGATGCTCAAAACTACTGAACTCAAATTATGACTATTGATGCAAAAATGCTGTCTAAGGTAGACAGTGCACTACGTTTCGAAACACAGCCTTTTACATTTGTGCAGATCTGACAAGCAAAAAAACTGTACAGAATCAATCAATCAATCAATCAATAGACTGTTTACGTTAAAAAGCGATGTCTCAAATATCTGGACAGTTTTTTAAAACTGTAATTAGCATTAACTATTCAAACTATTCATACACAAAACTGTCTCTGCCTCTCGCGCTCATTATATTCTACTTTCTTTTTCTGTTTAAGTATTACGAGATAAGTTATAAAGAGAACATTCTCACCGTAGTGGGTGCCATGCCAAGTTTGATGATCAGTTTCCAATATATCGCTCATCGATCGAGCAGCACTGTTGTTGAAAATCGGCTTCACCGAAGTACATCTGCTCTGAAGTAACGCTAACGGACATCTTACACAGCCAATAGAATGGAAGTGTTTCAGCACAATAGACCAATTAGAAGCGAGACGCAGAGATAGGAGGCGGGGCGTAGCAGGAAAAGTTTATAAAGTGGGATTCTTTGTGCAGCGGTGAGACTAGAAAGAAAGCAGTTCATCTGAGTTGTGCAACCTTAAGTCAAATTTGTGCTTTTGATGTATTGTGCACCGAGGGGAACTGCATACTAGATCTGAGGCCATGAGTATGGAAGAAAGCCTTCATGGTTTGCGGTTTACGCATTCAAACAGTGCTCGTTTGAATCGTGTTCCTAAGCAAAGCTATACTTTATAGACGCGCTAATTTCACACGGTCACTGTATAAAGCCCAAAGAAAATTAAATCATGCATCAGTAAGTACTTTCAATTACCTAATAGTTATATAGATCAAGTATGAAAAATATAAACGATACACCAGCTTTTTTAGCCAGTGAGTCTTTCTTTACTAAAACTTGTGATTTAGAATGAAACATTATAGGGAAAGGTGAGAAAAAGAGTAAAAACATTCTTAGAGATCTTTATACATCTACAAAACCTTTCTTTCATGTGCACTTGAAGATGATCTGATAGTGTTCTTCATGGTTGACTAATTTGGCATTTCCTTTTTATGAGACTAGAAAGAAAGCAGTCCTCAATCCTGAACTGCCAACACGACATATTTGGACGTGTTTCGGTAAAAAAAAGAAAAGTTTTTGTAGTATCAGGGTCGAGTTAGATACATAATCACTCTAAAAGTCATCCTAAATGTTAAAAATATGTTAGTTTGGGTTAGAAATGCACGTGTGCCACCTAGTGATGTTTTATTGAAGTAAACAATAAGAGCGGCCCCAAAAATATATGAACACTCGTGCTAGAGTTTAAAAGAGATAAATGTCAAACTGGGTGGCATTTTATTTAAAGAAAAATAGAACAGAATGTTTCGCAAAACTAAGTTTGTTAGGGTTTTAAAGGGCAAAACGATATATTCGTTTTCAGGCTTTGTTGGGTATATTATCTAAAACAATGCAATGCAGCGGTGAGACTAGAAAGAAAGCACTCCTCAATCCTGAACTGCCAACACGACATATTTGGACGTGTTTCGGTAAAAAAAAGAAAAGTTTTTGTAGTATCAGGGTCGAGTTAGATACATAATCACTCTAAAAGTCATCCTAAATGTTGAAAATATGTTAGTTTGGGTTAGAAATGCACGTGTGCCACCTAGTGATGTTTTATTGAAGTAAACAATAAGAGCGGCCCCAAAAATATATGAACACTCGTGCTAGAGTTTAAAAGAGATAAATGTCAAACTGGGTGGCATTTTATTTAAAGAAAAATAGAACAGAATGTTTCGCAAAACTAAGTTTGTTAGGGTTTTAAAGGGCAAAACGATATATTCGTTTTCAGGCTTTGTTGGGTATATTATCTAAAACAATGCAATAAAAAATTAAGTGCGGAATAAATACACTAATAAATGAAGCTGTGCAGACAAAATGTGATATAGGCTCAGAAAATTAAACAAGTTGACATGAAAATCCTTCATTAAAAATGTTATATTACAAATTTCATTGATAAATACAGGCATTTCACAAAGCATTGTACAAAAAACACACTTCATCATCACAATCCTTTCTAGCAACATACAATAACAAATCTGGGCACAATTAAAACCAAACAGTGGCATTCCCAATATCCAAGACAAATACAATTTAATGTGCATCTCAAAACCAGTGTCTGTACAGACACACATTGAATAAGGCGCTGTTGACAGGAATTTTTCAGACTGGATCCCTTTCTACAGGTTGGTTTTCGGGTTTAAAGTTGAATATTCTGTTACTGTGCTTCTGTTATTCAAGTCTTAAAGTAAATGCGAGAGTGAAATAGCACCAGTTTGTTGTGATTCAGCTCTGTTACAAATACTCACAAAGGTAAGAATAATTTACTTAAACATATTTGACTGTACAAAAGCATCTGGCATGTACAATAAGACAAAATCATACCTGAAAACAACAAATGTACAATCCAGAGACATCTGAGCCGAGATGTGGGATTGTGAAACCACATGATAATTTTAGTTCAGGTTGGACTGCACTGTTACACGTAAATTATCCAAAGATTTCTTCTAAGCACCGATACTACTAGTTAAGTCCAGTGATCTGTGAAACCCAGTCAGAATTCCAAATCACTGTTTCATAATGTCTTCCATTTGGTATAAAGTCACTATTTATGCACTTTTTCATAGGTAGTCGGGTCATTTTCTGTTTCAGCTGACTTTATTTCAGGTCTTTTCTTGAGGAGGTGCAGTTTTAGGCTTTAGCCCCAATATGTATGAAATGTTTAGTTATTAATTATTTTAAAAATGTTGTAGTGCAGTTGGGGTGCTGTGGTCACTAGGTCAAGGTCAGTGACATCAGAGGACACACACACACACTCACACAGCCTTTTCAAGGCTTGGAATCTTTCAGCATGTTTATGCGAGCGAAGATCTTGAGGGCGGGTCCTAATTTAATATTCATGGCACTCATTAGATGATCTTCCTTCAGTAGCAGCATGGCCTGTCCATCGATCTCCTGAACACGGAACTCATCTGCAATCTCCTGGCAACCTAATTGTGAAGTCACAAAAATTTGCCCCATTAAACAGCATAATTGTAAATAAATTCACAGTAATTTATTGTTGAAAAAAAAAATCTGATTTTCATCATAACTTTCCATTTTTCCCCCCATCATTATAATATATTATATTGTAATATTTAACAACAGAATATCATATCAAGTGCTTGTGCATGTCTGTATATATATACATATATACATATACATATACACACACACACTACTGTTCTAAAGTTTGGGGTTGGTAAGATGTTTTTGTAATGAGTCTCTTTTGCTCACTAAGGCTGTATTTATTTGATTAAAAATTCAGTAAAAACAGCAATATTGAGAAATGTTATTACAGTTTAAAATAACTTTTTTCTGTTTTAAGATATTTTAAAATATAATTTATTCCTGTGATGCATCATTGCTCCGGTATTCAGTGTCACGTGATCCTTCAGAAATCATTCTAATATGCTGATTTGCTGCTCAAGAAACATTTCCTGTTATTATCACTGTTGAAAACAGTTGTGCTGCTTAACATTTTTGTGAAAAACATGATACATTTTTTTCAGGATTCTTTGCCGAATAGAAAGGTCAACAGAACAACATTTATTTGAAACTGATGTTTTTTTAACAATGTAAAACAATGTAAAATTCTTTACTGTCACTTTTAATAAATTTAATGCATCCTTGCTGAATAAAAGTATTAATTTCTTAAAGAAAACTTGTACTGAACCCAAACTTTTAAACAGTAATGTCTTTAGAGCACTTGGAATATAGTATGAAATATATATATATATATATATATACCCCAAATGATACAAGCAACTTACCTGGCAAAGAGCGAATGAACTCAAAAACCTCTTGCACATTCCATTTGGTGGGGTCACATGGCAGGAAGTGCTGACTGAGGAGAGGAAGCTCTTCGGGATCGTTAACAGTGACCCCACCTTGAGAAACGATTGGGCCAGAACTGGCTGCGGAGAGGGGGGATGTTGCATCCTCATAACTGGAGATATCCGAACAGGGACTGGACTCTCCTTGACTAGGCTGAGATTGGAGAGGTGAGGATATAGATTCTCCCTGAGATTGCTGAGATACAGAGAGCCGCTGGGGGGGATTAAACGAGACAATATGAGCATGGTTTACTTTATATATTTATACAAAAACATTGTGAAATGCAACACTAACACATTATACTGAAGTAGCTATTCACCTGCTTTTTGGCCTCCCTGCCTCTGGGACTATGAGACCTCCTCCTTCTCCACTGATTGATCTGATTGGTTGTTTTAGTTCTGTTGGGGTGGAACAGACCAACCCGCTTCGTGCAACTTACACTGTATCTGTTCAAAAGTGTTATACATTACCATACAGACAAAAATATTGCAATATCACAAAAATATATTATTAGTTATCATTTTGGTGGCAGCTGAATGAATGAGTATATCTATAATTTCAGTCATTGAGTATCATAACTTCTTAAATGAACCCAAATTACCCTGAAGTGTCATGCAGCTTCGTTTAAACATGCATTTCTATATAGACCAATTTGGAGTAGATGTACATCACATGCGTGCGCATTGTGGTGGCAGAAAAACACTGGGAACAAGTGGAGGGAAATGGGTAAAATCCATGGAATAAGACAAAAAATGTATTGTTGTGCCTTTGGATGTCAGAATGCTAATTATTTTTATAGGATACTGTCGTCAAAGACGCCATTTGACGCTAAACGCAAACGTTTAAACGGACGGACTATGGATGAAACCTGCTATGATTACCCTACTTTTAAAGCATAAATTTGATTTAAACAATAGGTCTACATAATCTTCACATATGCAGTTCATAGGGGACATACTTTATTAGCCCTACAGTTACAGCATGATATAGCCAACTATTTAAACCTATAACATTTACTTTTTTTTTCTTCTCACAAATCCAAGTTTATATCTCCTAGTTCGGACTTTATAACTCAATTTAACTCAACAATTGCGAGTTTGTCAATTCTGAGGGGAAAAAAATTCAGAAGTGTGGGATATAAACTCTGATATACAAGATTCTGAGCCGAGGGGAAAAGAGAGAATGACGAGTCGATTTTTCTTATCAGAATTGTGAAATATAATCTCGGAATTGCAAGAAAAAAGTCCGAATTTTGAAATACAAAATCGCAGTTACCGTTTTTATTATTTTATTCCATGGCTTCCATAGACCGCTAATTTAAAACTGTAATTTTCTGCCAACAGATAGGCTCCGCCCACCAAAAACGTCATCACTGTTTGCAAACACCGAAATTGGTCTATATATATATCTACCGTGCGACTCCACCGGGCAGGACACCGGCAAAGGATAATATCGCTTTTTATTTCTCCTCTTTCCTATTACTTGTTTTGCTTCGGTTTCACTTTTTTATAACCATTTCTTACTATGTGTTAGTAAGTTGTTGTTTTTTAGCATGTGTGTTTGGCAGTGTTATTTTTTAGGATTACTGATAAACTACTGTCATTTGATTTGTATTATTTGTATTTGTTATTTATTTTAATTTTAGTTACATTATGTCTGAATTTATTATGTCTGTATAGGTCTTTTATTACGTTTTTAGTTTGATTTAATTTGAGTTATTTTAATACTTCAACAAACTAAATGGAAATGAAATAATATATATATTGCATTTTAAATGTGTATGTACATATACAGTACATATGTATGTGTGTATGGTTGTACATACACACATGTAGTTGTTTTTGTGTTTGGCTTAGTGTTATGTTAGAATCATTATTATACTCTTATACCATTTGTTCTTTAATATTTTGAATTGTTTTTAGCTTTATTTTTTTGTTTTTCATTTAAATGTTAAGTTTTGAAATTGTGTTGTATGCATTTGTCATTTTTATTTAATCTCTTTATTTTTAAAATGTGTATAAGTAGTATTTATACAGTTTCAGCTTTTAGTTTGGGATCTGCTTTTAGTTGTTTTAATACTACAATTGATTGCTTCTGTTGTCCTCATTTGTAAGTCGCTTTGGATAAAAGCATCTAATAAATGACTAAATAAATATATAAATAAAATAAATAAATATTTTCATTTATAAAATGCTTTTGAATCTCTAACCTTTTAGCACAGACCAGGGAACAGAAGCGTTTTGAACGTTTGAACTTGTAGGCAAAATCGACCCATCCACAGAGCTCACATGTGAGCTTGGGTTCCTCCGATTCCTCCGGAGTCCTCGTGTCTAATGAAAAATTATAAAATATAATATATAAATTATAAAAGCATATGTTTTGCTGCACCTTGATTACAGGAAATTCCATATCTTATCACCTCATCACTAATGCATAATGATGCTCCTTTGTTCATAACAATGCAGGTTTCCAATCTTTCAAAACTTTACCCTGACACTTAAAAAGGTCATGCATCTTAGAAAAGCAGCCATGAGCTGCAGTATTTGTTTGAATCTACTAAATTAAATGTCTACCTTCTTGTCCAGCCTCCTCCATGTCGGAGTTTGTGGCACTGAGGGAATTACTGCTGGCCGTTTTCTCTGGATCTGAGGGAAGCTGCGTGTCTGGTTTCTTGGGGCTGTCTGCTTGCACCAGCGGTCTCTCCACCTGACAGTACAGTATACAAACATAATGATGTCAGGCTGATCATCACTGGAACACTGTGGACACTTGTGTTATGTTGGAATAAGCAGATCAACAGACAATATTTTTTCCACAGTTTAGTCTGATGTTCAGTGTTGTAAATTATGTCAATTCACTAACATAAAATAAATAAATATTATGTCATTATAATATAATAAATGTCATTAATAAATAAATGAATAATAATAATAATAATAATAATATGCAATCGTTTTGTAGGAAGAACATCTGACAGCCGACGTTTGTATGTAAATCATGTCAAAATCAGTCAAGAAAAGGGTCACCATTTAGATGACCACGTGCACTGTGGCTTATTAAGCATAATTGGTTTAAAGGGGTCATATAATGCGATTTCAGTTTTTCCTTTCTCTTTGGAGTGGTACAAGCTCTTGGTGTACAAAGAAGATCTGTAAAGTTGCAAAGACTGAAGTCTCAAATCCAAAGAGATATTCTTTATAAAAGTTAAGAGTCAGCCACACCTACCTAAAACGGCTCGTTCTCACACGCTGAAACACAAGAGAAATGTTTATGCAATCGTTTTGTAGGAAGAACATCTGACAGCCAACGTTTGTATGTAAATCATGTCAAAATCAGTCAAGAAAAGGGTCACCATTTAGATGACCACGTGCACTGTTGCTTATTAAGCATAATTGGTTTAAAGGGGTCATATGATGCGATTTCAGTTTTTCCTTTCTCTTGGCCGCCGTGTGTGACGCTGCGTTTTGTTGTGAAAGCGAAACTACTTTGTTTGGTCTTCCAAAAAATTACACGACTAGAAATCGCGTTTCAGAAAGGCGGGCATAGAGGAGAAACAATAATGTACAGTATGTGGAAAATAATGTGTTTTTTTTAACCTTAAACCGCATAAACACATTACATTACACCAAATAATGTTCTTTTTAGCAACATCATATGACCCCTTTAAGAACGTGCACGTAAACGCATCAATGGCGTTTGACGTCAATGACGTCCAATTAGAGCGGCGCGTACGACAGCGCCATTTTTAATTTCGACACAACTGCCAATGATATTTGAGAGCAATTATCAGCTTATCATTATCAGAGGGAAATTATCAGCCAATAACGACTAAAATTTTAGTCCGTTCCTCACACAAAGCTATCATATCACTTCGGAATACGGACTATTTGTATTGTATTTGTAATGGCAAGCACCGTCACTGTATGGACAAGATGTCAAAAGACATAGAAGTTCACTGAAGAATGGAAATAAGGTTGGAACAGGGTGAGTAATGACTTCATTTTGTGCGAACTCTTACTTGAAGAAACATGCCACCATCATTAGGCGTCTAAAACCTCTCTCTCTCTCAAAAAAAAAACATTTCTCTTGTTGTTGTATTTTTACTGCGTTCAGTCTGCAAACGCCATCGTTAGACACTAGACTGGCGTCAGTTGCGTCGCGTTTTAAGACAGCGTGTCAAGTCTACACCGTTCAAAGAAACGCGCCTCGAGACGACTGCGTTTTTCTTTTAAGCCCACTAACCAAAACACAAGACAAACTGTATGTAGCTTACCGACAAAGCGCAGTGAAAAGTCATTTCCCGCAGGGGCGCTCTTCAGTTCCGCCTCAAAACACAGGGGCAGCCTCATTCCCACACGCCTGATTATATTAATGACAGAATATCCAGACTCCGCCACGCGTGCGATTCTACGCAACACGCAGGGTGCGCTGCTTCTTTTCTAGTGCTCCACTCCCACGCACAAGCACTGCACAAGCTCTGCCAGAGAGGCGGTTCAGTCTTTCCCGGGATGGCAGCAGCAGCCTCAAGTGGCAGATCACATGACGCTGTAGAGGTTCAATGAATCTTTCACTGGCTGGTGGCAGCGGTTGTGTCTTCTATGCAGGCTATGTTGGGCATTATCTGAAGGTAGGAAAGCACCCTTGACCAAAACCAGTTTGTCTCTTAACAAGTTACTGACTGATTAGTGCCTTCTGCCAGTCATGTGACTGGCCCAGAGTCAATTCTAGTCCATATTACTGTACGTGGGAATTGCATGCCACCCCCCCATCCTACTACCTCCTCCTTTGGCAAATCTGGTTCACCATGTGGGTGTCGAAAGCCTTGTATTTTAATGCAGCTGTGATCCTTCAATTCCTCAAACGCCTGCAAGCTGCGTGGTATTTGATACAGTGCCCTTAAGAATGTATTTGGACACTTAAAGCATATATACAAAAGAAAGTATTTGGACACTTCGTATTGGACACTTGTCATATAAATAATGTGTGAATGTCATTGCATTAGATAAGAAAATATAAAACACACTGAAGTCAGTCGTTTGAAGTCAAGTAGCACAAGCACACATTTCAAGCAAAACACTGCACAAAAAGTTGTTAAAATAGCATATACTGTTCAAAATTAAGAGTGTATTTGGTAATGTGCTTGTCTCAAATGTTAATGTAACATTTGTTCATCTTTGTTATTTTGATATTTTGTTATTTAACGCATTGAAATGTATAATACAATTGTTTTGGCACCAATATTTTGGTCATTTGTTTTACTGGTTAGTGTACAACATTCAGTCTTTATTGATCTCTCTAGAATATCCATTATAAAATATTTGCAGGTGTCACGGACTTGCCGTGTTTTTCTTAGGGATGGAAATTTTGTTTTTGTTTTTTTTATTTACTTGTATAAAAAATATTGAGGGAATTCAAAGTGCAGAATATCGTCTTAATTGTTGGTTTATTCATCAGGCAGATTTGTTTGTGCATTTAGTTGAATAGTTGTAACTGTATTTTGATCCAAGTGAAATAAATAGTGTGTGTGTGTGTGTATATACGTGGAAAAAAAGTGTGAAATGATTGTGTTTTCATGGAATCTTGTGTCCTAGTAATCATTATGTTTTATGATTGCATTGTTTGATTGTGAAACTATGCTTGTAAACGTGAAAATTTGTCCACTGTACCTTGAGTTTGAGATGTAGTGTTAACAGTATCGGCTTTGGATTGTTCAGGGGGGTCAGTGCCTTGGGTCGTAGTGGTTGGCTGCATTTGTACTGGGGGACAAAGCTCTCTTACCACCAAAGAGGTGGGCTTCTCCTTGTCATCCTGAGCCAGTCTTGAACTCTAAATAGTATAGAAGTAGTTAGTTGCTTCTGATTTGTATACATGATCTTTAATCTACAATAAGGCTCTAATAATAAGGGAGTCCATTACCTGGCTTTGTGCTGGTTGGATTTGGAGATTGATGGCTGTCAGTTGGACCGGTTGAGCTTTAGCATGGGCCAGGCCTGTGTGTGCAAGTGCATGGTGGCTTACAGTTGAATGGAAGATGGTGGCCTGTTGACTTTGAGCTGATCCTTGGTTGTGAAGTGCTGGTTTAGGCAAAACCGGAATGATCCCTGCTACTGATGAGGTCTGGGTGGAGCTCTGGATGGCCAGTGAGGCTGTCTGTTGGTGAGGCTGGACCGAGACGGTCTGCAGTAACTGAGGCTGGGTTCTTGAGGTGGGTGGGGCTTGGGGTTGAATGACAAACTGCTGTGGCTGCTGCTTAATCAGGGCCTGCGGCTGGATTTGGGCATATGCTGGAAAAGAAACCACAGACAAACACTTACTATTACATACTGTTTCACATGACTACACATTAAACTGACAGTTGCAAATATAAAACGGCAGTAACAGATACATGGAATTTCATAAATTTGGACAATGTTCTTTCAAGTTGGCATGGGTAAATTCCTAAACTGCACAGGTTTCCCTCAGTCATGGGAATTAAAAAATTGTGCTTTCTAGCCCTGGAAACTTTAAAAGTTATAATCCGTATGCTCTCATTTTTTTTTCTCAATTTAATAATGCTCTTGTTAAAGTAACATTGCAAGCCATTAGTGAATTATTTGTAAGCAAATTCATTGTCAATGAATCTGTTTTGAACCAGTTCACAAATCCATCTGATTGATTCAGTGGTGAAACGGTCTGAATATAAATGACTCTTTAAAATATTTATCCAAGAAATCATAAACATGGAAAGTACATGGAAAAGTCATGGCAATTCATTGAGTCAAATGTGTGGGAACCTTGACTACATCTCAACAAATTTAGTTTTATTTTAGATTTTTTTTGTTGTTTAGTTTCTTTTTTTGCTGTATCTAATAACATTCGTTCTCTGTGCTTAGGTTTTCCAATACAACTTCTGTATTCAGGACTACAACATTGGAAACTGGATGAGTTTTAAAACTGTGATTAGGTGTTTGACTGGAGGACTTGCAGGAAACTGTGTTAAAATTTAATTTTAACTCCGCAGGAGAACATTCAAGCACACAAAACCTTAAGAGTTGGGCACGTTGAGATCACAACCTCAAAAGTTTATGAGTGGTAGAAGAATCTGAAGTCTAACTGGTTGGAAAGTTGTTGTTTAGTTTCTTTTTTTGCTGTATCTAATAACATTCGTTCTCTGTGCTTAGGTTTTCCAATACAACTTCTGTATTCAGGACTACAACATTGGAAACTGGATGAGTTTTAAAACTGTGATTAGGTGTTTGACTTGCAGGAAACTGTGTTAAAATTTAATTTTAACTCCGCAGGAGAACATTCAAGCACACAAAACCTTAAGAGTTGGGCACGTTGAGATCACAACCTCAAAAGTTTATGAGTGGTAGAAGAATCTGAAGTCTAACTGGTTGGAAAGTTAGCTAGCATGTGGTTTTTATGTTTATATATATATATATATATATATATATACGCTTGTGTGTTCTGTCACATGAAATGCACACAGGATATATGAAGCAGAAGTCAGGAACAAATACATTCTTTCTTTAAAACTGTTAATAGCAAACAGAATAGGTTAAGTGTGGGAATGTTCTTCCATCTTAATGTGAATGGTGTGGGATGGTGTGTTCAGATGACTCAATCCTCTGTGCTCACTTTCTCTCACTCTTTCTTTCTCCCGGATGTTCAGAATAAGGAGTTGATGAGTTATTCCCTGCCGAGCGCAACCCTGGAAAACCCCGAAATTTCCTGTTGAACGTTCAGCTATATGCAAAGCCACAACACATAACACATTAAAACAATGACATATATGCTTGAAGACATACAATATGTATATTTTCTCATGTTGGGCTTAATCAGATCTCTGAAATCTCATGCGTCTTGTGAATAGAGAAACACTTTTCCTGAGATAAAGATCCCAGATAAAGACCTGTCTCCTCTAGGCTCTCAGAAGTGATCAGTGTCTCAGACTGTGCTCAGTTTAACTCCAGTACGTTTCCTGAGCCATGAAAAGCAATTTTTGAGCAAGATTTTTCTATGTGGGTGCATGTAATTTTTACTTTAGCAGTTTGAGTGCAGTTGATATCTGTGGCTCTTTTCTTTCCTACTTTCTTTTAACAAGCCCTCTGGTGCATGGTTGTTCCCAAAAGAATAGTTTCAATCATTTGTTACAAAAATAAAATGGAGAGTACATTCAACTTCAAAACAAGCTGTTTTGACTGTTCCTACAGAACAAAAACAAGGAGTGAAATCCAACAATCAGTTGGGAATCATATTCTCAAGACATAATGTTTATGCAAATAGTAAGACTTTTTATCAAAATCTCCAGTCCAGACTCTTTCTAGTATCCACATACACATGATTTGTAATCTAATATTCAGATTTTAATAACATTAGGACATTTCTTAAAAGTAAACTGAACAATTCATCTAAGAGAATAATCCAGGACGGGTTTCCAGATTTGGGAATATCATTAATGCACAAGGGGAAAACCATGCATCATAACAGGCATCACATCAGCTCTCTGGAGCACGCTGCCGTGGAAACTACATCCCAACACATGTCAGGTGGCTTTTTACCTTTCCTTTCAACTGAGGCTCAGTTGGACCCTCTCAAACACACTTGTTCAATCAAATTGTTTAAGCTTCATTCATTCTGGTATTTGTGTACATAAACAGTGGCATAAACCGTACACCTGCAAATGATGTAAAAGAATAGAAATGCAGCTCTAATGAGAAACTGAAATGAAGCGAGTTTATATTAATGCACAAATGTAGCTACAGTAAAGAGAAGCACGGTTTCATTACACATTTACCTCTTTTAAATAGCCAGTTGTCTTTATTTGATCACAACCATCAATCATAAGTATTTATAAATACTTTTATTCCAGAGTTCTTCTTTTCTGGAATGTGAAAGGTGTTTATTTTTTTTAATATCGAATATTTTTGTCAATTTTTCTTTTTTCCCCTCTTTATTCTTGGACCTGATGTGGAAAAGTATTTTTTCTTTTCTTTTTTTAATTTGGTCAAACAAAACTCCTATTTTTTTACTTATTTTGGCACTTGCCTGGTGCTAATATTGAACCCTGGAGCTACCCTATAAGATTCTTTTTTTTTTTGTAAACAAAAATCTGAGCCCTTTTTAAAATTTTCTACCAAGGCATAACCAAACACATAGCAAAGTCTCTACCAGCCTCGACACGCCCAAGTACCTGCTTCTAAGTGTGCAGGATAATTGCCCTGTGTGAGCTGTTATGATTGGAGACCACTGGAATGATGGATGGCAGATGTCAGATGTTGACGTACACTGAAAGACTCCTCTGAGAAAGTGCGTGCCCTTCAAAGACCACATATGCATTAATGCACTTGAGCTTAAGCCATGTAGAACAAATGTAGCCTTGGGTGCATTTCTATTTTGTTTGGTACTTAGTGTTGACATGAGGGACAGACAAGTGAAGCGGGAGCTTATAAGAGTGCACATGTCAGAAAACATTTCTGTTGAAATTAACCTTTCAGTTTGTTTAAAGACCAAATGTGCACACACACAACAATTTCTGGACCACTTTGGATAAAAGGTTGTTGATGACAACATTACTAGCTCAAATATAAGCCAAAGTAAGAGACGATACTAGAAGTAACTGTATTTGTTGAGCATCTTTGTGGAGGACACGCTGTGTGAAATTGAGACTTCTTAAATCCACTAAAAACACTCATTGCAAAAAATGCCTCAGAAAAGTGAAATGGTTCTTAGAAAAGTTCTACCATCATTTGCAGTTGCACAAGTGTTGTAATATTTTTAGCGGCACTATAGGCCATATGGGGTCTGAGTTTACCTGGTGCGAGTAAGGGATGTGACGAGGAAACATTACGACTCATGTTAACTGCTTTCATCTCTGTTTGCCCTTCCTCTCCCTTCTTCACTCCATCCGCGGAAGCAGTGTTCACATTGCTTTTCCCAGTGTCTGAACTGGAAGCACTCTGGCTGGGTGTTTTGATGAGTGGGGTGGGCTGAATGGAGATGGGGGTCTGCTTTAAACTCAGTGCCTGCAGGCCTGAGGACTGAGAGGTGGAAGACGCCCCCTGCTGGTTGCGCAGGGCAAGGTTCTGCACCTGTGAAAGTCATAAATTCACCAGTAAACCTTTTTTTATTGAAATACATTAAAAGATATTTGAGTTGTCGTATTTAAAAAGTAATATTTTGCATAGAATTACCTAGGCTAAAGACCCTAAAGTAATGTGCACACTATTCCTATTGGAATATTTATTAGAATTCGGAGCCAATCATGATGGTCCTAATCCTAATGTGATCAAATAAGAATCTTTAACGAATGAACTACTGGATAAACTGGCTTTTTAAAAAATAATTCAATTTATCCCTATTCCTATGCTATTTATTATTATTATTATTAAATAATGGAATATTTATGGTATTATTCATTTGTATTATTAGTAATTAGTAATATTATTAATAGTATTGCTTTGGACATCATAGAGGGGTGCTACAGGCTTCCTTCTGATGTCACGGATAGAGCATTTTATCCTATTAACAAACATATCAGGGTTTTCTAAAATATCAAAATATAAATTGTGTTGTGCTGTATTGGTAACCTATAAAATTATTTTTAGAATCTTTTAGGATTGATTCCTTAAAGTATTTCTAGATAAGAGAGTCTGCTGAATGAATACATGTACAATAAATGTTCCAAATTATAATCGAAATACCAAGTAATCCTATATTTTATGAATGCTTCATGAAGAGAATTGTTTTAAACAGCATATTCATGAATGCAAATAAAAAATGTTTGTGCAATCATGGGTACTTTTGGATGTGCATATATTACAGAAGTGTATCTCAGCATGTGTGTGTACCTGTGCAGAGACAGACTGTGTGTTATTGGCTGTATTAGTGTCAGACTGTAGAGCAGTTACTGTAGCTGTAGGAGCCAGGATCAGCTGAGGGGACAGAGGGACGGCTCGGCCCAGACTCCTGGCTACATGCACAAGATTACTCTGCTGAGCCTAAAATAATCACACATAAAGATTCTCATTAATATCACATTCTCAGGAAGCTCTCCATCATACTCTGGTTGATCTAGAATGATCTAACCAGTATTAACCAGTTTGCAGTATAACCAGAATGCAGAACCATGTTTAGACTACAACCATGGCATTAGAGTACAACAGTAAAAACATGGGTTATGCTTATTTTAACTATTGTTCACGCCATTATTCTGCAAATTTGAATAGTTGCATATTTATTTTCATTTTGGGCCGTTTTGATGTTATAAAAGAGCTATACATTGAAAACGTTTGGAGTAATTATCTAGACCAGTGTTTCCTAACCTTTTTTTTTTATTTTTTTTTTTACATGGCACCCCGGTTGGGAAACACTGATCTAGACAATACATTAAACGTATTACAACTTTAACTGTAAATAGTATTGTTAGTGCTTTATCTGTGATATATTGCTTAAAAGAATAAAAATAAACTAAAGGGTCAAATGTTGTTTACATTATCAGTTGCCTAATTTAGCTGAATTCGTCCTATTTCTTTCTGGCATTCAGCAAGAAAGCAATGACTGATTAAGAGTCAGTGTTTCACTCCTAAATATATATTTAATATAGAAAGCAGCTTCACAAGCATGAAAGACTCTTGTGTTTGTGGTTATACAGGTGTGCTCACCATCTGGGCCCGCAGGTACATTTGAGCTTGGCTGGCTGTCAGGGTGGAGCCTGTGGCGTTGCCTAGCAACACAGCTTGCTGGGATATCCCAGAGGGGGTGGAGTTTACGCTCTGTGCACGACTGAGCAGCTGAGCAGCAGCAGGGGACGTGGTTAAATTAATCTGTGGGAATAAGAGAGACAGAGTTGTGACATGAGGAGCCTGAATGTTATGTCACATGCAAACTAAGATATTGATGTGATTATAATATGCTTGTTTTCAGTAGCTGCATCCAAATAATAGCTTACTGTGGTCTGTGATGACCCGCTCTGGGTAGACAAGGTCCCATTCTGGTTCGAACTCTGCCTGCCGGCTGCTAAACTGGCCTGAGAGGAAGAAACCATGACCGACCGAGAGTGTAAGGGTATTTGGGTGTATTATGCTTCTGTCTTGCTGTAGGAGACTGGATGCTAACTGACCTGCTGCACTGCTGCGAGGCTCTGGAGCTGTGCTGTGCTGAGGTGCTGCTGCTGTAGAGCTGCCGTTTGCAGCATCAGATGCTGCTGTTGAGCTGCATACATCTGCTGCAGGTACTGCGCTGCTGTGCTGGGCTGCCTATGTAGAGCCTGCTGGATCACCTACCCCCAAGAGAGACAGAAAAGAAAGGTCCAAGCTGGTAGCCTGAAATGTAAACATCACTTCATTCGCATACTGTACTTTTCTGTAAATTACATTATAATTGCATTTGAGTTCATCCCGGACACAGAATTTGATTGTTACATTTCAGTAAACCTTTTCCTCAGCAGTGTCCCGTTACAACCATAAGAACGGCCATGGAAGATGGATTACACATCGAGTCAGAACAGTTGCCCATGTCAATATGCGATACAGAACCACGTTAAAGGTTGTCAAACAATACTTGCATCAACAAAACTTTACTCTTTTGGTTCAGTCTGCTTTTATACAGAAAGATTAAAGAAATTATTTTGGTTCAATACAAGTCAAGCTTTTTCAACATGCTGTTATAACCACAGGCAATAATTTCAAGTTTAAGCTTTAAGTTGGCAAAGCACTGCACTTTTGTGTCTATATATATGTAGTTTAGGATCAGTATTTATTTATTTTTTTGAAAGATGTTGATATATTTCAGTAAGACTGCATTCAATTAATCAAAAGTGACAGTAAAGACATTTCTACTGTCAAAATATTTCCATTTCAAGTAAAAGCTTTTCTTTCAAACGCTATTCATCAGAATCCTGAAAAAAAAGTACCACAGTTTCCATAAAAATAGGAAGCAGCACAACTATTTTCAGCATTGATAATAATTATTATTTCTTGAGCAGCAAATCAGCATATTAGAATGATTTCTAAAGGATTATGTGACACTGAAGCCTGGAGTAATGATGTTGAAAATTAAGCTTTGCATCACAGGAAAAAATTGCATTTTAAAATATATTCAAGAGAAAAGTTATTTTAAATTTAAATAAGATTTCACAGCATTACTATTTAATGTATTTTGATCAGATAAATAAGAGACTTAAAGGGATACTCCACCCCAAAATGAATTTTTTTTCATTAATCACTTACCCCCATGTCGTTCCAAACCCATAGAAGCTTCGTTCGTCTTCAGAACACAATTTAAGATATTTTGGATGAATACTTTTTGTACGCGGAAAAAACAAAAATAACGACTTTATTCAACCTTCCTTGTGACGTGGCTGACACAGAAGAGCGTAAGCTGCCTGCGTTCGGCTCATATTCTCCAAAATGGTGCTACGGTGATGCGGACAGACAGAGGAGACGAATTGTTCAATAAAGTCGTTATTTTTGTTTTCTTCGCGTACAAAATGTATTCTCGTCGCTTCATAACGTTATGGTTGAACCACTGATGGCAGATGTACTATTCTGACAATGCTTTTCATACTTTTCTGGACCTTGACGGTGTAATTTACTTGGCAGTCAATGGGACAGTCACAAGCCTCCCGGTTTTCATCCAAAATATCTTAAATTGTGTTCCGAAGACGAACAAAGCTTTTACAAGTTTGGAACGACATTGGGGGTAAGTGATTAATGACAAAATTTTCATTTTGGGGTGGAGTAAAATGTGTTTTTGCATAAACTTCCATTATAAGTGCATTCTGTAAACATGATGCATGTTTTTAGACCGAGATGAAATAATTTTCTGTGATAATCAACAGCATGTCAAGGATGCAGTGGACAGAGCTTGTTTTGAATCTGAAACATTCTTTAAGGTTAGACATGAATATCATAAGTATGACAAGAGAATCATATGTCTGTTCATCCCATGATACAAACATTAAGCATATAATCGAGGCTAATAAATGAAAAATAGGTGCCTTGGCTGAGGGTTCACCCATCTAAATCTCATCACTGGAATCGCCAGAGGCACTGCTGTTTAAATGACTTCTCTCCTTTTCTTTCTGTCTCTCTGTCTTTTGGGGTTTGTTATTCAGGGACAGAAAGTGGTAATGGGATTGAGATGGGGGACAGAAAGGGAACGAGTGTTGGGACGGGGGGGGTAGCTTTAGAGGAGAAGTGTGGTTTCAATTATACTCATTTAATTACTCGCACACATGTGGTTGAGAACCACTAACCCCACACACTCTTAACCCCCTCCCTATCTACCCTGAATCGCCCCCTCTTTATCCACAACAAACCATTATGCCTACCCCCTTTCCAGGTCTGTTATTACACCAAGAGATGGTCTAATATCAATGAGCCCTCCCCCAAGCCATTTCCTGCGCTCCAAAAACCTAATGGACTTGGGCATTGTAATTAGATAATCTAAATATAAGTCCTGAGCCTCATTAATATGCATTAATGGAAGGGCCATAGGGATATCTGAGAACATGGTTACAGAATTAGAATATTATTAAACATTGTACAAAAGCGTAGATGCTGGCTTTTGCACAAGTTAACTTTGGTGTGTTCTCAATGACATACTAGCATGCTCCTCACTGCATACTGTGCTCATATATATATATATATATATATATATATATATATATATATATACACACACACACACAAACATACATATATGCATATATGTGACCCTGGACCACAAAGCCAGTCTTAAGTCGCTGGGATATATTTGTAGCAATAGCCAAACAAACACTGAATGGGTCAAAATTATCGATTTTTCTTTTATGCCAAGAATCATTAGGATATTAAAGAGTTAGTTCACCCAAAAATGAAAATTAGCCCATAAATGACTCACCCTCAAGTCATCCTAGGTGTATATGACTTTCTTCTTTCAGACAAATCCAGTTGGAGTTATATTAAAAATTGTATTTGATCTTTCAAGCTGTTTCATGGCACTCAGCGGGCGTTGCATTGCTTCAGTCCAAAAGAACTGAAATAAAATTTGCCCATCCATAAAAAAAAAAGTGTCTCACACGGCTCCGGGGGGTGAACAAAGGCCTTCTGTAGCGAATCGATGCGTTTTTGTAAGAAAAATATCCATATTCAAAACATAATAATCACTTGAATCTAGCTTGCGCTCACTGTTGTAGACCGAAGCAGTTCCGGGCTGATGACCTATGAGGTCAGCGCTGTGCATGCGCCGCTCAGAAGTGACGCACACGGAAGCGCAGGGGAGAGATCAAAACAAAACAACGGTCACTAATTAGAAGTACAAAACGAGGATTTGTAAAGTACACAAATTAATTTTGTCCCAGTGTAAAAAAAAATGGCCCTTTATCTTTTTGACTGACTTAAGTCATTTCTGTCGTCTTGTCATTATCTTAATTTCTCTGGTATTCCCTTGACAGTAAACTTTTCCATGTGCGTTCAGTAACCCAGACGGATGTCTATCGCGCTGACGCCAAAGAGATCCCCAGAATATTCCAGGTATATTGGTACCACAGATAACACAGGCAGGGTATCAGGGAACCTAATACCTGGGAAGTTTTATAAAGTCATATTTGAATCCTAAGAATAATGGCTGTAAGCTAAGGACTCATAGCTTATCATTGCTTCCCCCAGATCTTGTACGCTAATGAGGGTGAGAGCAAGAAAGAGCAAGAACTGGAACCTCTTCCTGGAGACAAGTCCAGCTACATTTGCCATAAGGGTCATGAGTTCATTCATACCCTGTACCACTTCCCCACTAACTGTGAAGCCTGTACCAAACCCCTGTGGAACATGTTCAAACCACCTCCAGCTCTCGAATGCAGACGATGCCACATCAAGTGCCACAAAGACCACATGGACAAGAAAGAGGAAGTCATCGCTCCCTGCAGAGGTGAGAAAGGGCTCTCTTCTTTACTACCTTAATGAGTAAAAAAAGGGTTCACTGGCTCCTGGAAAACCTGGGATATATTCAGAAATTATTTTTTCAGTTCTAAAGTATTTATTCAAGTAAGAGTTACTTTTAGAGAGAGCAAAAGTACTATGAAATTGTGTGTGTGTGTGTGTGTATATATATATGTACAGTGGGGCAAATAAGTATTTGATACACTGCCGATTTTTCAAGTTTTCCCACTTACAAAGAATGGAGAGATCTGTAATTTTCATCGTAGGTACACCTCAACTGTGAGAGACAAAATAAAAAAAAAAATCCAGAAAATCACATTGTAAGATTTTTTAATAATTAATTTCCATTTTATTGCATGAAATAAGTATTTGATACAATAGAAAAATAGAACTTAATATTTGGTACAGGACGCATGCAATTAATTTCACAATCCTTAACGTGTTAAAATAATTTTACGCAAAATTACTGAAGCACAATTTCTATTCTAACCCCTTAACCCAATTTTGCTTCTCTGCTTGCGATCAAATTATTTTAAGCGGCTAAACTCCAGGAAAGTTTTCAGTCCAATGATCCAGTAAGCTAATGCATTCAAACAATCTGTCCAAAACAGCGCTAATATAAAGGAAACCAGGCTGATTACATCACAGATTGCAGAGAGAACAGAGACTTGCGTTGTTTTCAGTGAATTATTAATTCCAGTGTGTTTTGCTTTTAAACACGAGCTCGGTCATATTCTGTGATTGTCTCTGAAGAGCGCGAGCCCATTCCGTTCAGTCTGTACATCGCGCTGTGTGAAGTACAGACTGAACGGAATGTCAACACATCCCACCACTATATGGCCAGATGAGACGCAAACTACGGTTTCTCGACTTGATAACCAGTCTCGCTAGTAAAGTTTTGATGGATGAAGACTGCAATCAAGGTAAAGACGATTGCGGTGGCGTACATGAGTCGTTCAGTAAGCACGTGTGAGTCCGTTATAATAATGCGTGTACGAGTGCTCTTGACGCACAGATCGCACATTGTATTTATGCACAGGCACAGACATTTCCGTACATTCATGTTGTTTCCACACACATTCACGATAATGTTTTGATTTGTCATGTGTATGTTGCTGTTTAGTCATTCTGAATGGATCCATGTACTGTAGTAGATATACTGTATGCAGTCAGCCGTCGGTTGGTTTAGGGTTTTTTTGGCATCGCCATGGGGTCCTGTTCGGTAACTTGACTTCTCTAAAATGTTAAAAAGCTATTTGCTGTTGCACTGTACACATAGGGATGTCAACGATTAATTGATGATCGATTCATTGTCGATAAGAGATGCAATCGATTAAAGCTATCATGGTCGATTAAGTCGTTTAATTTTGGGCTGCGTGCGGCTCGTGCGCAAAACACGTGCGAGCGGTGACGGTATATAAATGCATCATCATTCACTCATAATTACAAATTAAGCTTTTAATGTGATTTAAACTTTAAAAGTACAATAAAATACAAACAACACAAAGTTCTTCAACATGTAAAGCAATAGAAATGTAGTAACAGTCATTTCCCCAGATAATTCTTTCATATTTGAAACAATTAGGTGAATGTTGCAGGGCTGCGGGACACTGCGGGGGAAGGATAGGCTATTCATTCCTACAACTTGTTAATTAATTCCTACGACTTATTAATTTGTGGCCACTGTCCATGTTTCATTAATTTTGTTCCTTAAATAACCCATGATTTAACTAAAATGAGGCAACAAATTAATACATCGAACGAATTCTTAATTCATGGCCATGAAATCTTTAATTTCCCTTCCCGCATGTTTATCACAGTTAGAGATGCGAAAACAGTGATACAAAGTGATTGACAATAAAATAAACCTGCGAAATTAGAGGGTTAGACGGTGAGGATTTAGGAAAAGAAACAATGCCTAAATATTATTGAATTTGTGGAAATTCGTGACCAAGAACAAATCCGCGTAAATGTAGGC